GGCTTCAGACATTAACACTGACCACGGTTGGAGCCTGACCTGCTGGCCTGTGCATTAGTTCTATATGGTAGTTCCTTAAATACTTAATGAATAAGCTTTCCCTGCCCACCTGCCAACACAGTAAGACAAACTGCTTGCGGCTTCTAGAGATCTGTTGGAATAATATGCCTCAAATATCTAGATCTCTATATATTTGGCCACTTCTTATACTTATGGTTCATTTGCTTCTCATTTAGTCCTTGCACATATGCTTGTGCACCTATGTGGAGATGCATCATTTCCTCAGGCAGCAACATCCTGCCCCACACTGCTCTTTTCAGCCAGGATCCGGCAGGATTTCTGCATCCAGAAAACTTGGCGCCTGGGTTGGAGACTGAGAGTCAGTATGGCCCAGAGATGGTAACAGTGCTGCCGCACAATGTCAAAGCGGGGTAAGCCTTGAGAATGGGACAAAACAGGGTACAAGCACAAAGCTGAAAGCACGCTGAGTATACAAACATCTCCTGGACCAGCATAAAGAACGCATGTATAGCAGAACAGGTCTCAGCCAAAGGCCAGGGAATCGAGACAGATCGACCCTGAAGAAACACATCCAAGCAAACGGAGGAATGGAAAGTAGAGGTGAAGGGGAAAAAAAAAAAAAAAAGAGGAGGGAAAAAGCAGTAATTAATTAAAGGAGCAACTGGAGAAAGAAGAATGAAGAACTAGGAATGGGAGTAAAGGTTCTCTCAGCACATACTTCCTAAAAAAACAAAATTCAACACACACAGAGACTACCAAGTAGGCTGATTTATGTCTCCTTTCCCACATCTACAGATTTGCTCTGTTTCCTTATTATTTTCCCTCATACTTCTTTACTGTTACTTATCTCCTCCTACTGCTCTGTCCTTTCTAATTTATTGCTGTTGCACATGCCTCCATCCACTTCTCCCTCCTCTCCTCATCAGCCTATATATAGCCGCCTCCTTCTGCCCTGAAGAGGAGGTCTCCCACTCCTGCGATGACATTATCTTCTTGCTATACTATTCTTCTTTTGCATTTCTTTCCCATCAATAAGAAGAGTCCTACCGTATAACACCTATCAAAGAAGATCTTAAAAGTACAACAAAAAGGCCAATATGGTTAAATAGCATAGTAAAGAAGGCTAAGAGAAATGAAAAACACCCTTGAAAAAGTGAACATCACAGCTACAGAAGGAAAAAGGAAAAGAGTATAAACTTCAGCAAGTTAAACATAAACCGTAATTAGGCATACCAAAAGAGATTTAAGGAAAAACTTGCTAAAGCCATCAAAGCTAATAATGGAATACATCAGATATAAGAAACCTGCCAAAGATCCCCTAAGGCAAATAGATGATGGAGGTCTAAAAGTAGTGCTTGAAGAAGAAAAGGCCACGGCAGAAAAGCTAAATGGATTACCTCTACCGTTGCTTACTACAGGGGAACTGAAGGAGGTTGCCACACGGGAGCCTTTCCTTACAGGGGCAAGTCCGAAGCACTGTCTCAAACTGAAGTGGCAGTAAAAGAGGCTTTAAAACAAATCAACACCAAGAACAGCTATAAATCCATTGGGCCTGGTAGTATGCATCCAAAGGAAATCAGTCGTGAAGCTGCTATTAGCTGCGGTATGTAATCTATCGTTTAAATGAGGCTCAGCACTAGAGAAATGGGAGGTGATGAATATGATGTCATTTGGCTCCAGGGCAGGGATCTGTGGGGCAACAGACCAGCAAGTCTGATTTCCTCTCCAGGTAATTTGGGAAAAACCATAATAAAGACTAGTTCTAGCAAACTTCTGGATAACTACAATCCAACAGAGAAGAACTAACCTTGTATTTTGCAGAAAGAAGTTAGGTGGACAGATCTGTTGTTCTTTAATGGACTCAACAGGTATGTGGTACTGAAACTACGGAAAGGTTTTATGAAAATCCAAATATAGCCCAGCCAGTCAGAATCACATACATCAATGCTGTGCACTTGAATGTTCAAAAAGGCTGTTGATAAAATCCCTCACTAGAGACTTCAAATTTCTTAAAGGCATCATGCAGTAAGAGGGAAGGTCCTCTTGTGAATCAATACCGAGTTGAAAGATAGCAAGCAAAGAGCACAAGTATGTGAACAGCTTTTACAATTGGAGAAGACCGCAAGCATGGTTCCCAAGAGACATGCACTGGCATCCAAGTTGCTTCACATGTTCACAAAGGATCTGGAAAAGGGAGCAAACAGGGAGGCGACACATTTGCTGATGACACTGATGTGAATCACACTGCAGGAATTAAAGCTAACCACAAAATGTTACAGAAGGATCTCACGGTATTGAAGGCTGGGCAAGAAGATTGCAGATGAAATGCAATTCTGGTACAGGCACAACTATCAGAGAGTGTGTACACGCACACTCTAAATCTGCATAGATCTGCACACAGATTGATGTCTATAAATCAGACACTTCCGGTCACAATAGATATCCTGGAGTTCGTGTGGACACTGCCGTGAAAACATCACCCAGTGCTTAGAAGAGGTCACAAAAGGCAAGTGGAAGATCAGGAATTAGGAGGAAAAGAGAACAAAAAATAGAAAGCAGTCCTACGTTTCTGTGCTGCACATATCTCTTGAAAGGTGATTCTGGCCCCCTTCTCAAAAGGACAGATTAGAGTTTGAAAGCATCCAGCGAAGACTGACAAGCAGGATCAGAAATGCAGAACAGCTTCCATATGAGGAGAGTTCAAAACAGCAGACTCCAGCGTCAAAAAGAGACAGCCTTGGGTGAGGGCATGGGGGTAAAGGCATGGAAGGCAGAGGACAAGTGACGAGCTGATGGTTACTCACTACTCATTCAGCGCACCAAACGAGATGATCAGGCAAAAGGCTCACAGCACACAGAAGGGAAATCTTAGTGTGCACATTGTGTAATTTAACGACAGAGCCCAGCGCACAGGATGCTGTAGAAGCCAAAACTATAAATAGATTCGAAAAAGCAGTCAGAGACATTAATGGAAGAAAAGTCCATCAGTGGCTGTTAAAAGCAAAAAAAGCAAGTAACTCCTGACTCAGGAAGTCTTTAAACTGCAGATTACTGCAAGCTGGGAAAGGACTGGAGAGAAGCATCACTGTTGCTGGCCCTGTTCTTACATTGCTTTTCTAGGCATCTGCTGCTGATTGCTCTCAGGGGCAGGCCATGATAAGAGGTGACCCAGCAGGAGCACACTTAAGTTCTTGCCTTCTCCTCAAAAGCCCAGGGCAGATCTCTCTCCTGGAATTGTCCCCAAAAGACCTGAGCTGAAGAGCGAGCCAGCTCGACCCAAGCCACCAAGCCCTGCATACTAACCCGGGCAACACCAAATCCCTACCTTGAGGCAAGGTGTATTAGCTCCAGCTCAGTGCTGCATGGAAGCAATGGCACGGTTTCTGAATTTGAGTTAGTTTGTAGATGGCCACCCTGCTTTGAACGGAGGTAGAACGGACAGAAGTCCATTTGCGTCCAACTAAGCAGACGTAACCTTAGCCTCCTCTTCTGCGGCAGACCCCCTGGCACTCCATATTATCCCAAGAGCGCTCCTTAGTGGGAGGAGATGTCCTCCTGTCATCCGCTCCAGTTCGACTTCACCGTTCTTAAACACGAGTGACCACAACTCTATGCAACGCGATACCAGATGATCCCTGCAACTTGGCATATGGAATTGCCATCTTCCCACCTCCCTTTCAACAAGAGAGTCATCCAACTTGGAAAGGCGTCCGGCTTTCCTCCCGGCTGCCGTTAGCCAGGAGGGTTTGGACTGGAGGCGTGCTTCACAGGGATTGCTGCGCGAGCCCAGACCGGTCACCATGGCTGCTATTGTTTGAACAGCAAACAGCGTTTCAGGGAGATGGACAATGAATCATGTCGGAGCGAAGAAACCCCTATTCCAAATTTTTTTGAAAAAAATCCCACTAACAGAGCTCCAACCACTTCAATAGTGTTTCCTGAAGACCGAAGGGTACACATAAAAAATAATTTCATATTCTTTAGTACTGCATACATTAAACTTTGCTCTGGCCAATAAGTTAGAAAATAAAGCTAAGCAACCCATGTGCAGATCACCTGCGTTTCTGCAATTACTTCACAATTAGACAACTGCTGAAAGCAGCTGGAGGCAAATGCAATACATTTGCTAGCAAAACACAAAATGAAACAGTCTGTTTCAGTGCAAAAAAAAATATAAATGAGGTTGTAAAGAGAGTTGTTTGGAAAAGAGTAATCAAATAAAATGAAATATGGTACATTAAGTTTGGCACTTCATGGCATTTCATTTTTGTCATTAAGAACACTGCTAAAGAAAATTCAATATATTCGATAGCGTTACTATGGTGTTCTGGAGGGTTGCAACGAACTTTTGCTATGTCTTTAAAAAGGAAAGTGTTACATTATTGGTAAATCTACGGAATTGAAGTTATTTAAAAACAGTGTGTCTTAAAAATGCAATTGCTAGAACCAAAGCATATAAAGTGCTGACACCAGTTTTTGCACAGTTGCCAGAAAACAGAAAGTAGGTGTTATAATAATCAAAATGTTAATCACAGCAATGCATCAACAGCAGGACTCATGCTAAAGAAAACTGTTCCATGTAACAAACTTATTTTAAACAATGCAAAAATGCCAGTATTCTCCCATGATCACTCATACCTGAAAAGGGATTCTCGTGACAGCCAGATTTCGTTCTGTTTCACGGTCTTCCAAGAGAAGAGCAGCAGTAGTAAAGCAAAGAGGGTCAGAACAGTAATCCTCCACTTATTTAACCACGTAGACAGCTTTTTTAGACCGTGGACAAAAAGGATGCAGTATCCCATACTGGGGGGAAAAAAAAAAAAAAGGAAAAGGTACCAAAAGTTATATTCCAGTACTTTGGTTTATATGCAAGACCATTCAGTATTGCATTTATTATACAATTACAGGGATTTTTGGACTAATAATATTTTCCGGGCTAACAAACTCCAATTCAAAAGCGGTTTTCCTCAATTCACTATACAATTTCCAAATTAATCTAAATGATAGACCCAGATGCCAGAAGTACAGTAGCATACATAATACCAGCATAATGGTAGCTTACACCAGCCCGCAGAAGGCAGCTGCTTTTCTAACGGCAAACTAAGAAAGCATCACGTAATAACAGTAATACTGAGCACTACTGGAGCCACGTGGAAGTGAAAAGCATTTTAACGGAGGGAAGTCTCTAAACAACCCCAGTAGCGGCTGCTATTAATTCCAGTTTAAAAATTGCAAAGCTGAGGCGGGAAAGCAGGTGTTGTAGCCAACGCCGCAGGAGGAGTGGGTGGCAGAGGCCACATCAAAAGGCAGAAGTCCCTGCCCGGGTCTTGCATGTCCACATCAGGGCCAGCCCGTCCCTTCTCGTACCCGGTCCAGAACAGCTGAGATGCGTTAGCAGAGCTTCCTTGTTGCCCTTCCATGAAACCACACGTGGTCTTCTCCAGCGCCCAGCCTACCAGCACTTTCACGGCTCTCTGCACATAACTACTGAGGCATTTTCTGTGAAGCGAAGCGCGTTTTGAATTGAAGTCTTATTCCTGTATAACTTTAAATCAATTCAGTAATTATTTACCTTAATTCAAGTGTCATGCTAATTCTTCCAGTGATGTTCCTCTGAGTTGGAAATGGAGTGCTTTCGGCTGCTGTACTTAGTACGCCACTAATTCTACTTGGCCTTTTTAGAAAGGTATTTCAACTCCTATTGCCTGAGGAGTTTCATTAGCTTATCTATAACTCTCCTATGCAGCTACTTAGCACCTGATTTAGTTTTAGACTTAAAAGCTATCTTAGTCCAGGCAGCTCCCCCTGAAGAAAAAAGGGAGCAGAAGGATCTGGAATAACACTTGGGGACCACCAATACACGGGGACAAAAGAGCAGCTCTCTCGAGACACTGGCACACCTCGAACCTCAGCTGAATCCCACACTTAAACGCAGGCAGGCTGCAGGCAGAGAGCTCGTCGCACCTGCCCGCGCTCCAGCCGGAGATCTACAGGCTTTCCTGGCCTGTACCGAGACGTCCGAGCAACTTCCCGGTGAGACTGCCTCGAGGTAAGAAAAACTAAGAACACAATTCCGTCAGAGGTAGCCTCGCAAGCAAGCATGTGATATGGCAAAAGTCAATCTAGAAATCAGAAAAAGAAAAATGTCCCATCTTCGAGGAGCTGTGAGCGTGCTTCTCAGCACAGTTTCTCTGCCCTCTTGGAGGGCTGGGCACATTGCTACTGCCTGGGCTGCCTAAGGATGGAGAGGAACAATTCTTGCTTTTACTGAGGAAAAAAGTGCCTCTATTGCAGGTAACTGACCAGCACCAGGCAGTGGTGCTCTCTGGCACAGTACAGGTGCCGTATAGGACACTGAGAGAGGTATAAACATAGGAGGCAAATCCAGAGATAACATCAGATCTGGCAGTCATTCAAAACTTCTTCATTGCTGTTTTAGAGTTCTCCCATTTTTCAGAAGTGGGTATCGATATTTTTTTTTTCACTTGCTTATGCTTGCACTTTGCTGCAGCACGTTTCTTATGGCACTTGCACTGTTTTATTCCATGAATTCTTTTGCACACGTATGTTTATTGCACCTACATTAACTGCAAGCAGACATTTAGAGCTACAAACCAAGATGCTGGTGCCAAACAATCAAGCCTTTATAGCTATTGAACCCTACTTTAAAACCTCTGAAAAGCTAATCTCGGTAATAAGCCCTCCCTTTCCAATAAGAAATGCCTCAAAAACCTGCAGACGGTTTTCACTCTGTTATTTTGCCTTTCAGCAATTTCATCCTTCCCTTGGAATTAATTACCTGACATAAACATTATTTAATTGCTTTAGCACAGGCCGTTTTCAAAGGAATGTCCCTACACCTTCATATTTTCAAGAACAGGCCTTTTCTAACAGAATCGTGAATGCGTCCAGAAAACAAAAATGCAAACGTCAATGTCTTGGTATTTATTTCAAACCCTGCCCCAGCTGTTGGGAATTTCTGCCTTAGGAGCAGCACTCAGCCTGCTTGTCCAGGTAACAGCTAGCACCACATTACAACTCGCACAGCCACTGGAAAGGTGTTGCTTCCCAGGGTTATTCTCGAACATCTGGAATGCATCGCCACAATAGTTACAGCGAGATGCTGGGTGCTACAGAGGACTAAGGGTTCATCTCAGACTGCAGCTCCCATCCCAGCTGCACTGGCAATGACACAGTACGAGCACGCAGCAGTGCCCAGCTCCACATGGCACTTTCCATCAGGGGCTCCCAAAGCACTTTGTAAGGAAGATCCGCTGCAATTTTCCTCTTACAGAGCAGGAACATGAAACATGGCGATAAAGTCATTTGCTCTGCTGACAGGGGACTGGCAAACAAGACACCAAAGCTGCAGTCCAGGGATCTACCCACAACACAGGGGAGTACGCAATGGAAACCAAGGTATCTTGCTGAAAAACCCACACACAGGACTCCCTGAGAGATAAACAGGTAAGTAACCCAAAGGCTCAACATCCACACTCAGCAAGGCAGCAAGACTACAGGATTCAGCAGTAACTAGGAATACGGAGAGGAAGGCTGCTGGAAGGAGATCGCGTAGCTAACGTACCAGAATTCCAAACCACAAAGCTGCTAAGAGTAAGGTTAAAGGAGCGATGCTAAAGAGGGCAGGGTTGAAGCATGATTTACACTTTAATAAGATAGAGATAATTGTGACAACATTAGGACTGAGTTGTAGTTGTGCCACAATTATAGCCTAAGTAGCCTACAGTCAATGTACCCGCACTATAAAGTGCACGGGAGTCCAAAAGAAAGGAAAAGAAGGAAAAGGATCAGAAAGCATGAAGTAGGTGAATACTTTTATTTTCAGAACCTGGTAAGTTTGGCCTAAAAATTCAGACAATTTCCTGCCACAGATCATCAAGGAAAGGGTGGGGAAGACGCTGCATTATCTTGTCAGGGACCTTTTGGTATAGATGTCAGATGGAGCTGCATCTTTTTGCGTGACTTTTTTTATGACATGGTCATTTCAAGCCCATCCCCTGGCTGAGGGCAGATGTTACATTCCTGGCTGCAGGTCTTTTGCAGGCCAAGGACTCCCAGAAGCACAGAAAGCACTGACGTGTCCTTTGCCGCCAGGAAAGCATGTGCATTTGTGATTTCATGCCACAAATTGTTTGCAAAACAACAACTCCCTGCAACATCCCCAAAGCTACTATCCTCAGTAATTTTTGCGTATCTCTTTATATTGCTACCTTAAGGCCAAATAATTATGGTAAAATCAGGGCAAATCCAGACCCCTCCTCCAGATCCCGTGGTCTGCTCTAAACAAAACAAAGAAGTGTCCACACCAATGTACTAAGCATCTGCTAAAAAAACATAATTATATTACTATTGTTTCCTAGTCCCAAAAACGCATAATCCCTCATACCCTACAACATACTTGTTTCACACTAGACTCAACAGTCCTGATACAGAAATTAGCTTTAGTACAGAGACCATGAAATTTTGAACCAGTAAAACACCAAGCTTGCTAAGATGAAGTTTTTGCAGCAGCAACATGCCCCAACAGTTGCTGGACCTGGAGAACCTCCCCGCAGAGCTTCACCCATGGGATGCAAGTTCATCCCACTTCCCTTCTTCCCAACCTCATGAGGCTTCAGGTAAGCCTTCTGAAGCTGCACTGAGTCTGCAACAGGCCCTGGCAGCAGTGCTGTGGTGGGAAGAGCCCATACAGGTGAGAGTGCATTTATCTAATTAAAGTAAGTTGCCTGGTGACTCTATGACACTTCCTTTGTGGTTAACTCTGCCATGACCCTGCCATCACCTACAAACGCAGAGAACACTCCAAATACACTAGCTTTTCTTCTCAGAATGACAGGGGACTCGACTCCATATCAAACGTTAGCGCTGGCTCGCCAGGAAATCAAATTTTACTCACACACATTTACAGAAAAAAATGAAAATGTCTTAAAAGGACATTTCATCAAAGACCTATTTGCCATTGAAAAACTTACTCTTTAAGTACTACATTCCAGACATCTCCATAGCTATCTGCATATGTATCAAGGCTGCAGGGTTGTGGGTTTGGGGTTTGTTTGGGTTTTTTGTTAACTCTAGCATTTCCTAGGGAGAGGAAAGGAGGGGACCATTTCTCCTGAGGGGCTTTTCTCTTGGCATTGTCATCCCCTGTCATGCAAGCACTTTTCTGAAATACTCTGTAGTGAAAACAAAACAATCAGAAACAAGCAAAATCCCCAACCCACTATTATTTTTTTAAGTCCATTTTCCACTGGATTACTGTAAACCTGCTAAGGTTTTTTTTTCTTCCATAGGATAAGCAACAGCCTGCTACAGCAACTGTTCCCCACTGTGAAAAGTCCATGCCAGCTTGGTCCCCGGCGTCAGATATGAAACAGGACCTGAGGAACAGGCCGAGAGGTTAACATGGTAATAGTGTTTCCGTGGGATCACAATGAGCACACTTATTACGGGAGAACCTGTGGCTTCAGAAATTCAATGATGCCGCAGGAGAGCTCGGCAAATGGACCAACTGGCCAACGGTTTTGTTATTCCTCGCGTTTCAGACTCCTGTGGTGCTAAAGTGGTACCTCAGGCACGTCCTGAACTGCAGGGAGGGCAGGGCTGCACCCAGCAGGCAAACCCTCTGTGCCACTGCCATGTGTTTCTGGCAGATCACACGCAGGGAGCTCTGCAATGGCAGTTTTTTGTCTGTAATTTCCGTGGTTTGTTAGTATCGTTCCACCTGCAAGGAAGTGAAGTGAGAGGAGGCACAAGCAGATGGGAGTGAGGTGGCACACAGACCC